AACTTTAACCTCACGCTTAATCCCTTGTGTCAGGCGATCCGAAGCTAGCGGTGTTGCTAGTGTCCGTATTGCGCTTAGTGCCCAGGCTGAGCGCTCGCTTCTTGACTGGATTCGTCAGTAGCCGACTGTGCGTTGTACGTCTCTATTGTTTTCCACCTTAAAAGTGTAAAATGCTACATGATTGAGTTGGTTCAGCATTAACCTCAATCTAATTTGGGAAGTAAAAGAGCAAGTGAATAGGTTTTGTTATCTGAGCAGCAACGTCTCACCCGGTGGACGTATCACAGATGAAGTGTCAGCTCGCATTCACAAAGCTCGATTGGTATTTGCCAACTTCAGATATCTGTGGCGCTACCGCGATATCTGGTTGCCTGTAAAGGTTCGAGCGTATGCTGCGGCAGTTCGGCTATACGGAGCAGAAACTTAGCCATCATGAAGTCAGGATAAAAATAGGCTGTCGGTTTTTGAACACCGTTGTCTACGAAGCAATGCATGAATCTGGTGGGGCGGCCGGACGAGCAATGCTGAGGTTAGGCGCAGGGTTTTAGGTAAATCCGGTCGCCCACTGGAGCAAGTGGTCGACCTCCACAGATTACGTTGGTTGGGGCAGGTGTTACGCATGTCACCGAATAGGTTGCCACGGCGAGCGATGTTTGCCGAGGCAGGTATTGGTAGGAATGAAGCCAACGGTGGGCAAGCCTTGATCTGGCACGAGTATGTGAAAACTCTAACTAGGAGACTAGGTCACATGGGTCCCATTAGGCTCCCTGGCTGGGAATTCTGGGTGATCGTAACCAGTGGTTAGAGACTGAATGATACGGCTGTCGTAAACCGTGGCGTTCATGCATCTTCCCAATTTCTTTGCAGCCATAGTTCACAATTTCCTCTTTGACTCTGCCTTCAACCTACCTGTCTTTTCGTACTGTTAGTACAAATGAGCAGCAAAAAGACAGCAACCAAAACTGGTGCACGAAAGTGCATGATTATTGGTTGCTCAAACGAAACAAACGGAACTGATTGTGAGTTTTGCAGCACTCAGTCAAGTTCGCTTCACTGCATTTCGTTATATTATGCTGATGACGATGAAACAAGCGTGAAACTTAAGATGACATACTAAGTCTCGATCCACAGCCATAACACAAACAAGAATGGTGTCTGGTTAATTAACAAATTCTTGATTCGCTAAGGAGTTCGGCCGTACACCATCTGCAATGGGGTTGGATTGATTCCGCTGACTGCTCTGTTGACCAAGGACAAAAGACCTGTGCGCCCTGTGTAATCATGTTGTGACCTCAACATATTCATCAGTGTGGCTCCACCATACCGAATAACCAGGCGGATGACGATTTGATCATAGGCTTATTTTCGGGGAAGGTCTTAGTCTTTAGGAAGTCTCATTATCGATGAAACACCAGTATGAACGGAATTACCCTTACAACATTCGGAAATTTCTGACAAGCGCTAAATCACCCACTTATTGACATCCATGAATAAATTTAAAAAAGAAATATACAAAATGGAGTGAAAGTCGTTTTCGGACGATGAGGGGGAACTGTACATTCAGGCTATCTGACCAGGTCGTTCAGGCTTTAGCAAAAAGCTTTTGTTTCTTTTTCTGTGGTGCCGCGACCTTCTTCTTCGGAACAGATTTTTCTTTTTCAGCCTCATCCTCCAGACGTGAAAGAGAAACATCCATGTCTTCCTGCATTTCTACCACTTCTTCTACATCCTCCTCGGATGATGAAGTGTCCATCCGGGTGACCTTTTCTTTGGCTTAAAACAAGAATATTAACTAGAACAAAACAAAATCCCTACCATTAGGCGCCCTGATCAGGTGCATTTGAGTTTTCACCAGTTTTATGTCTTCTGCTTTGCGGTTCTCAATACCTTTCATCAACCGTTTCCGAATGAATGCAGCTTCTCTCTTTTCCTTAATTGCAAGCACTTTGGGGACAGCCTCCACTAGAAAACGATGAATAAAGAGTTGCTTGAGTATTAACTCACCTGTTTTCAACAAACTGTCGCGTTCGTATCGAAGCAACGAATTGCGTTTCTTCTCAAATGTTTGGGCGAGATCGTCTGTCAGTTCTTTCTTCTGGCACTTTCTGGCAACTTTTGTCCATTTCACTTTACGAGGATTACGATGTTTCTTGAATGCTTTGTGACACTTCCCACGACAAAACCGAAATTCCTGTTGATCAGAAAATGAAAGACAACCCATTGAAATTTATACATACGTAAGTATATCGCTTCCAGAGCCACCATAAATCCCAACTGTACTAGATGTGCGATTAACTACTAATAGCAAACGAGTATCACAAGCAATAAATCATGACCAAAAACGAGGCAAACACCAGAGCACCCTACGGAAAGTGGGCATAGTCGCTTGGAGACGGATAGTGAAGCTGTGCACTCTGTGTTTACCATAGTGGCTCTCTTTCTTCCTCCTCCCTCAAAGTAGGTCCAATCCCCATCTACCTTAAACTTCACCACTAACCTTGTACGCATTGCAAGTTTGGTAGCGATCACTAAAGTTCACCTCACTGTATTTCGCTGTACGATGATGATGATGATGGAGGGAGGTAAGTAAAATGATCCTCTATGGACTAAACAGAGTACATAATCTAGCTTTCTACACTTTTTTAAGCAGTATGACCTGCTAATAAGTAGCAGCAAGAAGGACGCCAATTTCGGCTCGTTATTATATTCATCAGTGTCTCCGATCAACCAGTTAAAGAGTTTTTGGATCCCAAGCTGGAGGACAGAATCTTACCCTGTATAATTGCTGCGCATTTCTTAAAGCCTGTTACAGCGCATCCGTGGACCTAAAGGTGATTTTCTTCAAGCGCGAGTAGCAACAGCGAACGAACCCTCCACATACTCTACAGCAGAGCGTGTTCATAACACTTATTCCCTCCGTGAAGAAACGCCGGGTTCTCTCAGTTTAGTTTTCACAACGATTAACCATGCACGTCCATGTGGCGGAATTGGTTGCTGTCTTTGAGCAGCCCATTTGGATAAAAGAGCAGGACGCTTGAAAGCTCGAAAGCAGTGGGTCTGTGAAATAGAGCATTTCTGTAGACCAAGGTCGCATGGACAATGAGTAGGCGTACGAGCTCCACTGTTTACGACACAGCTAAATCACCCAATGTCTGAAATCCATTTACCATCATAACGAGATCCCCATCCAAACGCAACTAATATGACCGAGCCTACTGTTCGGTTTTATTACCTTCATACCAGGTCCTAAATGAACCGTCATTGAACTTTATTCATTCACTGTCTGTCTCAGCAAAAACAGCGCGCAGTCACAATCTATTTGGTGAAATACGTAACTGTTCCCAACTAGCGTAATCGACAGAGTCGGACTACTTTTTTATTATTTTTTATTACACACCTAGGTGTGATGNAGCAGACGGGGTTAACCCCATAGTCACGAGGGCCTGCTGTTCAGTGGTTGAAAACGGCAACCTAAGCCCCGGAACTTGGAGTGGCGAACCACATAAGGCCCCGATAGGTTAGGCGTGATATTGCACCGGACGATAGGAGAGCTGCCTACCACCAAAGTCGGGTGGCGGGGCTCGAACCTCCGACCATGGGGTCCAGAGCACGCCGGTGACAGCGACTAAACCACTGCGCCACCACCACCCTCTTGCTACCGTGGACGACCGCGATTAGCTAAAACTGTGCCTCACATCATGATCATCATCGGACAGTGAAATACAGTGAGGCGAACTTCACTGATCACTATACATATTACCACCAGCCTTTTTCGCAGTGCGAGTTTTCTGGAACGACGAGACTGAACTTGATATGGTATGATGGCCTGCGTGACTCCATGACCCTGTGAGCAACACAAGACATCTTTTCACAGCCACATAATCATTCATCATCGTACAGTGAGGCAAACTTCACTGATCGCGGCCAAACTCACAATGCATGGTTAGTGGTCAAATTTAAGGTGGACAAGGATAAGACCTATTTTGGGGGTGGGAGAAGGTGAACCTCTATGGTCAAATTGGTGCACAATTAAACTATGCATACATAACGTTTCAACCATTCTGGTCTGATAAGAAATGACAAGACCGCCACTGCTGTCGGTTCGCTGACATAAACTTCAATGTCTCCAACCAACCAGATGCAGTCTTTCGGACACCAACCCGGGCGAGTGACACCTACTCTATCTAATGGCTCTGTGAATTTCTTCATGCCTCGTCTTCAAGTCATCTGTTGACCTCAATGTGGTTTCCTACGGCGAATAAGGCGCGATGTGGTAGACGGTAGCTGGGCATACGCAATACGTGCCCTGGCCAGCGAAATCTACTAATCTGAATTCGGTGTGCTAGCACGTTTATATCTGATAGACTCCCAAACAGACGACGGTTTACCTCCACATTACTAACCTAGCTGCTCCACCCCATGTGGGCTAAACTACTTGAACACCGATAAACGAAAACTTCTAGTCCACGGATATCTTCTACTTGCACATTTATGGTTTCACAGCCATAAAGGAGAACTGAACGAACGCCAGCACAATATACGCGACCTTTCAACCTCAGTGAAATGTCGCGTCTAAGGTGTTTCATTCCTGCGTATTCCGCTGGAGCTTTAAAAATGCGGGTGGTTATCTTCTTTGCTGCGCTACCGTCATTGATCGTACAACGACCTAAGTAGGATAAGTAATCCACTATAATTAATTCCCGGTTATTTAGTTTCAGAGCGGGACTCGGCAAAACCCAATCTTGCAGTATCACTTTGTACTTTGAA